ACCCCATAAAATTCCCTTGTTCCCATCTTCAGTCACTCTTTGTTCACAACCCCAGTCCTCTCCAGCCACTAATCTTTTTCTGTTTCTATGGGTTGTATTTTCTGGTTTTTAATAATACTGAGTCTTCCAATCCATAGATATAGAATGCTTCTCCACTTGTTTAGGACTTTTAAAATGTGTATCAACAATGTTTTATAGTTTTCAGAGTTCAAAATTTATACTTCTCTTGCTAAATGTATTCCTGTATGTTTTATTATTTTTAATACTATTATGAATGGAATTAATTTCTTAATTTTAATTTTAGGATTTTTGTTGGTAGCACATAAGAATGCAATTGATTTTTGTATATTGATCTTGTAACTGTGAATTTTTGCTGAACTCATTTATTAGTTCTAATAGTTTGCAGTGTGTGTGTGTGTGTGTGTGTGTGTGTGTTCCTTAGAATTTTCTACATACAGGATATGTCATTGTAGAAAACAATTTTATTTCGTCATTTCCAGTCTTGAGTTCCAGGGACTCAAGGTCGGTCTAACATCCAAAAGTTGATCAGTGCCATATTCTACAACCTTAAAAGGAAGGAAGTTCTGTCAAATGCTACAACGTGGATGGACCTTGAGAACATTATAATGCGCGAAATAAGCAAGACACAAAAAGATAAATAATGTATGATTCCACTCATATGAGGTACTCAGAGTCATCAAAATTACAGAGACAGAAAGTAGAATGGTGGTTGCCAGGGGCCAGGAGTTAATGGGTACAGAGTTTCAGTTTACAAGATGATGGTGGTGATATTTGCACAACGTGAGTGTATTTAATGCCACTAAACTGTACACTTAAAACTATTTAAGGTAGTAAATTTAATGTTATGTGTATTTTACCACAATAAGATTTTTGGAAAAAAAAGTAAATTGGTAAATTTCATCGTGTTTACAGAATAAAGAAGAAACACTGTATGAGCATCTCAGTAGATGCAAAACACTGATGGAATTCAATGTGTCCATGTTAAGTTTTGTTGTTGTTTTTAGCAAACTAGGAAAAGAAAGAAACCTCCTTAATTTGATAACGTTTATCTACAAAAATCCTAAAGCTAATATATTTCTTAATGGTCATGAACTGAAAGTGTTCCCCTAGAAATCAGAATGAAACAAAAATTCCCATTATCATGACGTCTAGTCAGTATTGACTGAACAATCTGTTGAGTTTAATAGTACAAGAAAAAGAAAGAAAAGGCATAAAATCAGAAAGGAAGACATAAAACTCTTTACTTACTGATGACCTAATTGTGCACATAGAAAATTTTAACAATCATAAAGAAAGTATCATAATTAAGTCAGTTTAGCAAGATCACTAGGTACCAGGTGAATATACAAAAGTCCACTGTATTTCTGTGTACTATAACAATCACATCAAAAACATCAAAAACCTACAAATATCCAGAAAAAATATAACAAAATACAAGGAAAACCCTAAACTGAAAATTATAAAATTATACAGAGAAATTAAAGACCCAATAAGTATGTGTGTGTATGTTTGTGTGTATAAAACCACATTCATAAATTAGAAGACTCAGTGGTAGAGAGATGTTTGTTTTTCCCAAACTAATCTATAGATTCATTGTAATCCCCATCAAAATCCATGCAAGGGTGCTCTCTGGTGGCGCAGTGGTTGAGAGTCCTCCTGCAGATGCAAGGGACACGGGTTCGTGCCCCGGTCCGGGAAGATCCCACATGCCGCGGAGTGGCTGGGCCCGTGAGCCATGGCCGCTGAGCCTGCGTGTCCGGAGCCTGTGCTCCGCGACGGGAGAGGCCACAACAGTGAGAGACCCGCATACCGCAAAACAAAACAAAAAAATCCATGCAGGGATTTTTTTTGGTGTGGGAGATGGGAGGAGCTGACAAACTGACTCTGAAATTTATTTGGAAATATAAATGATTTACGAAAAACCAAGACAATCTTGATCAAAATTAGACGTATGCTCCATACTTGAAGACAAACTGTAAATCTACAATCATTAGGACAGTGTGGTTTTGGGATAAGGTAGGTAAATAGGCCGATGTCACTGGAGAGTCTAGACATAGCTCCTCACATGTCTGAGCACTTATGATCAAGGTGCCACTGCAGTTCAGTGAGGAAGGGTTAGTCTCTCCACTAAATGGTGCTTGAGCCATTAGTATCCTTATAAAAAGAAAGTGTACCTTGAATCCTGACTCACAAATACACAATAATTAATATGAGATGTGGCATGTGATATGTGAAAGTTTAAAAAATAATAAAACATTGGAGTGTATCTTCATGACGACAAGGAAGGCAAAGATTTCTTAAATAGGGCTTCCCTGGTGGCCCAGTAGTTGAGAGTCCGCCTGCCGTTGCAGGGGACATGGGTTCGTGTCCCGGTCCGGGGGGATCCCACATGCCGCAGAGCGGCTGGGCCCGTGAGCCATGGCCGCTGAGCCTGCGCGTCCGGAGCCTGTGCTCCGCAACGGGAGAGGCCACAACGGTGAGAGACCTGCGTACCGCAAAAAAATAAAAAAAATTTCTTAAATAGTTGTCTAAGAGCACTAATCATAATGTACAAGTTGATAAATCGTACTTTATTGACATTAAGAACTCTGTTTGTCAAAAAACACTACAAAGAGAATGAAAAGCCAAGCCACGAACTGGAGGAACATATTTACAACACGTATATCCAACAGAGGTCTCGGATCTAGGATGTTTAAAGGACGCCCATAAATCAGTAAGAGAAACAATCCCATTGGAAATGTCACATAAGAAGACAGCAAATGGCCAATCAGCACATGAAGAGACCCTTAGCATCACTGAATTCATAATTCAAGGGTGAATTAAAACCACAGAGACACCACTGCACACCCACAAGAAAGGCTGAAAGGTCAGCGGAGATGTGGAGCGCCCGGAGCCTAAATCTGCTGCGGTGCGGGGGGAGGGGGAAGGGGGGGCGGGGGAAGGGGGTGTCTGGAAATCGGTGTAGCCTGTCTAGAAAAGCCTCAGGCATTTCGTATAAATTGAGGCATGTACATACCCTACGACCCAGCTCTGCCGTGCTTGGGGCGTTTGTCCAAGAGAAATGAAAACACATCTGCAGAGGGTCTTCATTCATAATCTGGAAACCACCAGCGGTGTGAAGAACTTGCTGCTGATGCCTGCAACACCACACGTGGCTCTCAACGTCGTTCTGTTGACTGAACGAGCCCCCGGTGTGAAGCTCAATGCCTGGAGGCGTCCACACAGGGGCGGGGAGGACAGGGCAGAGGCAGAGGGGTCTGGCCGACGTGGTCTCCAGGGCAGCATTTTGAGGGGTTGGAAGTGTTTGCATCTGGACCCTGGTGGCACCTGCACGAGAGCACCCGTGCGAGAATGGTCAGCTCTCCTAGCAGGGCTGTGCCCTTGGCTCGAAGTCCCAGGTGTAACCAGTGGGTGGCAGCAGCAGACCCCGCAAGGGCCGCGGTGGCACCTTCCGAGCTAGGGGGCTCGTTAGGGAACCAGAGGGCGGTTAGCTCGGTCTGTCCCTGTTCCTTCCTTGTTGAGGCGCGCGGGGTCCCCACGCGTGGTGTGCGTGTCGTCAGGACCAGAAGGGCAGGTGCTGTGTCCCTTTCTTGTCGTCAGCATCTGGGGGGACAGTGCTTGTTCTCTGGAGATTACGAGGGTGTCTGGGACGGGGAGCTTGGCCAGGCCTTCACCTTAGGCTCGCGTCCCGCCTCCTCCCGTCTGTCCTCTGCCCCCAGGGGGAAGCGACAGTTTTCCTATTGTGAGGCACAAACTCACAGGGGACTCCATCCTGCCCGGATGCCGCTGCAAGGGGCGGAGGCCTTGTTCCGAGCCCCAGGGCTTGGACGCCCTGGGGAGACAGTGGGGACCCTTCACTGAGGGAAGATCAACCCCTGTCTTCTCCCTGAGCCCAAGTCGAAATTGCATTTGCTGGTCTCCTGGGCAGCTCTGCCCCTGGCCACCAGGCCGGGCTCTCGGGGACCTGCGTCATTTCTCACGGGCGGGTCTCTGCTGCTGGGCGGGGGGTCACAGACAGCTCGGGACTCGCACCTGCTTCCGCCAGGCCCTGTCTTCTCCCTGGGGTCAGGCAGAGCGTGTGCGCCACCAAGGTGGGCCTGGGGCTCCGGGGGCTCCCCTTCTGTGTGTCCGGTTAGAACCAGGGGGCGAGGCCCCGTCTGACCCGTCACCCACGTTCCCCGCACCAAGGGGGGCTCCTGCTTTCTCACGCCCCAAACTCTGCTCCTCGGTATGGGGCCTCTCCCCCCCATAGGGGACCCCGCTCATCGCTTCTCCCCCCCTGTTGCCCCCCTTCCCAGCAGGGTGGGTGCATCGTTGTGCACAGACGTCCGTGTCCCAGAAGGCTTTCTCCCCACGCCAGGGCCATCCCCGCAGGTGGTGGCAGGTGGCCTCGGAGCCCGGCACGGTGTCATCTGCTTCAGTCCGCCCTCGCGTGGGGTTGCGACGCGGCCCGGGCGGGGCTGGGTCTCCTGGTCCCAGGCTTCAGGGACGCACCAGCAATCGAGCTCTGACCGCACGCAGACGGCTGTGCCGTCTGCCTCCCTTATTCCCTTAAGTTACGGTGGCTTCCCGGGGCGGCCCCACGGCTGCCGTGACCGTGTGGCCACCAGCCACTCTGGCAGTCAAGCCCACGGGACACTAAGCTGGCATCCAGCCTGCGTCAACTGCAGGACCCTGGGGGCTGCCGGCGTGGGCAGCTCGGCTTTCCCACATGGGCCTGCAAGGGCCACCCTGACGTGGGTCCGGCACAAGGACCCTGGCCTTCATGTCCCGGCACCTTTTCTGGGCCCAGGCACAGCGCCCCGGGGTGTCCTCAAATCGGGGGTCCCCACCACCCTACAGGCCACATTCCCGGGCACCCGTTGGGCGGGCAGGAGGATGTTCTGAGCCTGCCCCTCGCCCTTTCCTCGGGCGGCCACCTGCTGGCACCTGGGCACCGCCCTCAGAGCCTCACGGGCTTTCTGGATTTTGCTTTGTAGCGGCGAGGCGTTCATCTCCAATTCCAGAAATTACTTTTCGCAGTGCCAAGCTCTGCTGAAGAAAATCACCTCTGTGAACCCTCAGACGGAGATCGACGGGCTTCGGAACATCTGGATCGTAAAGCCCGCGGCCAAGTCCCGGGGCCGAGGTGAGTCCCAAGCTGGGCGCCCTGCGGGAACAGCCAGCCATGGCGGCGGTGGGGCTGGGCTCCAGGCTCCCTAGGGGGCTCAGGACTCGCGGGTCCCGGGGAGCGGGCGTCCCAGTGACCCTGGTCTTTGTGGCTGCTGTTCCAAGTTTTGCTAAGTAATTAGGATTAATTAGGAAGTTCCGTCTCTAGTCTTCAGGTAGACTGTCTGTAGTTTTCTTCTTTGTATTTGCTTTGCTCGCCAGCTGCTGCAATGGAGCGAGGACTCCGCATCCAGCAGCAGTGGGAGCCTGGGCCCAGAGTGGTTATAAAACCCCCAGAGGCACTGGCCTCTTGCAGGCACATCCTGAGTGCCCTGTGAGCTCTGTCCCGGGACGCCGGTTTTCTACTTCTCCTTGCGTCACGGCTGTGACTGTGCCCTTTTCTTTATTCCTAATGGTGAATACTGTGGGTTCTTCATTTAAAAACAGGATTTCAGGGTGATTTTCCAATCTTATGAGTGTTTCCAAAGAACCAACTTTTGGTTGCATTTTTTCAATTTTCCTGTTCCCGCTTGGTGCTGACTTAAATGCTAAGCTTATTTATTCCCAAACATCCTTGTGCAACAGTAGAAGCTTTCAGGCTATGGAAATGTCCTCAGAATACAGCCTTCCCTGCATCCTCTTGTTTATGTTATATGATGTTCTCTTTTTCCTGAGTATCTAAATAGACCTTACCTTTTGTTTGCATATTCTATTTGCCCCTTGAGTTATTTGAGGGGTTTTATTGTTGCTGTAAATTCATAAGTGGTTACTTTTTTTTTTTTTTTTGCAGTACGCGGGCCTCTCACTGTTGTGGCCTCTCCCGTTGCGGAGCACAGGCTCCGGACGCGCAGGCTC